AGTTAGGATTTCAGGACGCATGCCCAAAACCAATGGGATCGATCTACAAAACGGCCGTCTGGAATGCCCACGCCACCCTGGGCAATTACTCAGGCTTTCAGGCAAGTGGGGAAAAATGGACTGCTCTTTGCACCCGCAAAACCACTCCGCTGGAAATGCTATGAATGAGCCTTCTTAGAAGGGGTCTTGGAAGGGGTCCGGTGTTGGCCCTCTCGCTCCTAGCAAGTCCTGAATAGAACAGAAAAAGGAAAACCCTGGAACACACATATAGCGAATAACAATGCGTTAGCATCCCAATCAATAGGTACAGGTAGAACACTTCCCCAAAGGGAGCAATCCCACAAATGGTGTCCTTTCGGTTTCCCTTTAAACCAACCCCGAAAAGGGTACCCTCAACCCCCCCCCCGCCCCCACACGGGTTCTCGAGAAAAGGCAGGTGCAACACTGGCCTTCCCACGTCCATGACCACATCTTTCCAGCGCTGGAACCGGAGCTCCTGAGGGGGTGGTGTCTGGAGGAAATCACAGGGTTCCCGGGTTCCCTAGATATCCCTCCTGCCTAGATAGCCAAGTTCCTGTTTTTTGCAGTCACTGTTGCTGGTTTTGGGGGTAAAGTGCATGGGCAAAAAACAGCAACTGGCGATCCAGGTGGTTCTCAGTAAAAAATGACACCGACCAAAAAACACACACACACACATCCAAGAGTTGGTTTCCTTCAAGGGAATCTCTAGGCTCATTCCCAACGCCCTGGGTCATTCCCTGCTGAGCACCAGCAAGTTTAAACTTCACCCCAAAAGAAGTATGTTTCTTTTGGCGTGAGGTGACGTCTCGAAACTACCAAGTGGAAAGAGGGTGCGAGAGTAGCAACTCGTTGAACGAGAGACCGGCGTTCTGCAAAACGCAAAATCGGTCAAACGGCAACCGCAGCCACTAGCGAAATTTGGCAAATTGAAGCTGCGCGGATTCTCAGGTGCTTGAGGGTTGGCTGAAAGAAGGATGCCTGGAAACAATGGTCTGCAGCTTTTTGGGTGGTTCCCAAAGCTATAGTAGGAGTTGGTGTACAACTGGACCACACACAGCAACAAACAAGCAGCAGCCGATTCACTTGTTGACTTTTGGTTCTACCGAGCCTCTTACCAAATGGCCAGGGGGTTATGGCTCTGCTAACATTGTATTGTATCGTGAAACAGTCTTTGCATCCCCACCACCAGTTGGCGCCTTTTGTTGTTCTTTCTTCCTCGCATCTCTCCACATGTTTGCTGTTTTATCCGTTTTGTGTTTTCTCGTTCTGTCTGCTGGTGTTTTCAATCCTCGTCCTTATTTGAATGTTTCCATTTCGCTCACCCCTCTCTCTCTCTCTCTCCCTTTCTCTCCCATGCCCTCCCACACTTCCTGCCTTTCTCGCCCTGTCTCGCCCTGTCGCTCGTTCTTTCTGTCTCGCTCTCGCTCGCTTCGCTCGCCTGCTCCATGTCACTGGCCATGTGCGTGTCATTGAACCTGAGTCTTTGCCATTCGGCAGGTCTCAGCTTGGCTTCCCTGTGAACCCCACATGGGTCCCCAATTGTAGGACTCACTTGTGCCTCCAACTGGTGGCCCACTTGCTATTTGTTGAACAGGCACCTTCAAGTCAAAGGCAAATTGCGTAGACACATAAGCCCATGTAGGCCGATATTGGTGTCGGGTTTACCAAACACTAGCCACAAGTTGGCGTTAAGTAAGCAAATCACATCTAGGATTCGCAGCATGTCTGAATGAGAACTGCGAGCCGTGTGTCCTGTTGACCTCATTTTCATTCGTAAGGGATTGGTTGATCGGGCTTCATACAAGGGATTGAAATCTGAGCATGATCATGTGTCAAGCGAGGCGACCCTAAAAGTGTAGTTGTCCTAGTGGCTTTCTTTTGGCTACATTTTGGCTACATTTTGGCTACATTTTGGCTCCATGTGGCTGTGGCTCAACAAACCGGTGCCCAGAATGGGTTGCCCTGGTAAGTGGAAACATGGACCAACACCTGCGGTTTGCCCCTCCGATCGTTTAATTTTGAGCCACACCCATGTGGGTCGCCCCCCAAGGGGGCTACAACTGGGTTCATGATTTTGACAACCCACATGCAGCATGGTCAAAGTCCTTGTGGGTTGTGGTCATGGTTCCCCTTTTAATTGACCAAATCCTGTTGCTCGTTTTCCTTGATGCTTCACCAGGGCCCATTTCTCCAATTACCACACTTCTAACAGGGGCCATCATTATCAACGTCAAACCCTAGTTGCCTATTAAGAAGTGGAGAGCCTGAGATAGGTCCCCAAAACTCACAAGTTATGAAGAATCGATGGACACTGGATGACAATGTGCACCGTCCAGTACCAATGAACATATCCTTTCGCCCTCTCTGTTTTGTTATGCAAGCCCAACTTTAGAGGGGCACAACTCTCACTGTGCAAGCACATGACCCAAATCGACCCAAACGTGGACACCCACAAACCACTTGTTTGAAAGAAGTGTCCTTTTGGCGGACCGCATTTCAGGCTTGCACCAATTGCAGAACCGTGCAAGCAATGGCAAATCTGGTTGTGGGAGTCACTTCAGGCTGCGATTCCATTGTACCATCCCACCTCTTGACCGCACCCCATAGCAAGCTCACTTTGGCCCAACAGGTGATTCAGTGCTGCTTCTTCGCCACCATTTAGGGTGACCAATAGAGAACCTCATTCCAAGTTGGATTCAAACCCATTTTTCTCAAGCTATGGCTTCCACCAGGACTTTTCACACAACCGCCTGTTTTTAGTTGGTTTCCCTCTAAAGGGCGCCAACTGTTTTTCGGTTTTCGCCACTTGCCCAACCCCTCGATCAGCCTGAGCCCAGCACATCAGGACTTGAGGCCGGGCCAGGCACTTGCAGAAGGGGCACACGGGCCTCGTCATTTTTTCAGCTCCCCACATGGCGGTGGCTCAAAAAAGTGGTACCAATTTTTCGGGCCATGGACGGAAACAAAGACCACCTGCGCAAACCCCGGCTCTGTAATTTTGAGCCACACCCACATGTGTCGCAATCAAAACCCGGTAGAGTGTGATTCTCCCTTACCTCCAATTACCCATGTTCTGATTCACATTTCCGGTGGGGCGAGGTGTTTTGTTTGGGTGCGCAAGGGATCAACGTGGGTCTTTTTTGAAAACTGTTGCGCCATTTTGGTGGGTCCGATTCCAACAAAAACAAACACTTTTTTGGGGGGAAGAGGCTTTGAAGCGAAGCAAGGAACGCGCGTTCTGAGAAAAACAGAGAGAGAGAGACGTTTACCCTGAAAAAATGAAATAACAAAATGACAGTGCATGTTGATGTGGGGAACCCAGCAAGCTAAAGGGAGAAAGACTTGCCCCTTTGCAACAGCACATTGTTCGAGGGATACCCTGGGCGTTTTAAGTAGCCCCTTTTGGGCGTCTCTGTTTTGACGGCTCGGGAATTCACAGGGACACCAAGTCACATGTTTGGGAGTTGTTCTTGGAGACTGCCCATTTTGCGTGGTCAACGTTCAACCTAGGATTTAGATATTGTCTGCCATCATCACTTTAGCCAAGTGCAAGTTGACACTTCCCCTTGAGGACAAATATTAGCAATCTCCTAATGTAGGAACCACACGTTTTCGGCCAAGTGGGCAGTCACTGGAAGGAACAAACCCTTTTGAAACAAGCTCTCAAACAAACCATCGGCCGTTGTTTGGGGAAACGCATGGTGACAAAGAATGGGCAAAACAATGCTTGGCAATAAGTCAGTGGTCACCGGACTTCCTCCTTAACAGCTGCAAATGACTGGTTACTTCCAGTGCAACGATCGCGCGTTGAGAGACCGTAAATGTTTGGGACTGACACAACTGAAGCAACTTGAGCAACCTTATTATATAGCTATATAACCCTTGGTATGGTAGCCAAACACTTTGTTGTTCGCCCCCCCTCTACAAATGAGAACAGAACCAAAAAACACAAAGCAAGCCGGAGAAAAAACAAGGAACACTAAAAACAAAAAAACACTTGAGCTGAGACAGTGAAGCTTCAGCCGAGCCCTTGTACACTCTCGGAGCCAAAGGGGCCAGTTCTCGTTCTTCTTGAAGGAGCCGGCCACTTGCCGCAGCGCCTGATCGCTGAAAAACCGGCGGGTTTCTCCCCCAGGGAAAACTCAATTTGAAGCTCCTCACTTCCTGAGATTGGCCAAAGTCAAACTGCCTGTTGGCCACTCAAATTGTCTTCCCAAAACGTATCAAGTCCAAGAACTCGGGGAGTGAGCCTCTCTTTGATCCGTACCAAAAGCAAAATCGTTCGAGTTTCCCAGAAAAAGGTACGCTTTTTCTCGAGGCTCGAGGTGTTGGACAGTTCTGTGAGCTTCCGAGCCTGTCGGGTTCCCCACTCGGCCCCTAGAAATGGAAATGGCGCAACGGGTCTCCCTTTGGTTTCCCTTTAAAGCCCACAGAGAAGGTCAAACAAGACACACACACACACACATTCAAAATGGCAACGCAGGGGAGCACATCCCGTCCCACCTGTCGAGAGTTGTCCTTTCAAAGCGAGCTAGACCCATTGGGGTTCGTCAAAAGGACTTCGAATCACAAGTAAGCCTTTTATTTTCAGGCGTCAGTTTTGACAGCCACCCAAATCAAACAAAAAACAACGTCTAAACGTGTCCGCAACTTCGGTGCACTCTCATCTAGCTACATTTCTTAGCACAATCTTTTGGGCGCGCCCCCTTTTTCCCGTCATTCAAGGCACTCCCAGACGAGGCCATGAGGAAGCTATTCTTGTAGCTAAATGTAACTCCTCACGAGGCTTCTCCGCAAACTGCTCTAAGGGGTCCGGAACCCTGCCATCAAACCACTACCCACGAGCAACATGGGGTATAAACATATCTTTCGGTAGTTGTCATATAGAGGTTACATGAGGTTGTATATGTTCCAGTATATCCAAAATTATTCCTTGGGGGTTGTTTCGGGGTTCTGAAACATCCCTGCAAACAAGCGCAGTGAGCTTTGTGACGGTCCATGCTGAGGCCTGTCTGGTCAGCGAGGGGCACATGCCGGGCAAGTGCCGTGGAAAACGAGGGGCCACCTGCTTTACAGGTTGCCGCTGAACCAATCGCATCCCCTCATCAACTGACGCTGAAGCGTCTGTCACCCAAATCTGGCTGGTTGAAATGCAGCATTCTGCCCAGGGGTTCCCAAGAATCTGGAGGAACAAGTTCTGCTGGTTGCAGGACTTGGTGTAGTGCATTGCTTCCAGCTGAACAGGACCGGACGCAAAAGTATTGATGGCGCCACGGGCCATGAAGATCTACCGCTAATCTCCCTTCACATCTCACAGTGCCGGCTGCACTGACCCGGGACCTGAGCAACGATCGCTGTGGTTTCACAGGGTCCACACCCTTTCCCCTGTTTCCCAAAAACAGGCTGACAAATAGAATCAACATCAACACCCTTAATTAGAAGTTTGGTAGGGGTTACCCAAAAACCGCCTTCAAAAGACAACCTCTAGGTTTTCAATCATGGCAACTCTCCTGCCTACCTTTGGGTTCGGCAAACGTGTCAAGTCCAAGCAACTGGTGACCTGGAATCCAAACCTGCAAGTGGCTCCAAGCGGGGTACACAAGGCTCCGTTTGGCTCCGGAGATAGAAATTGGTCCCCGCCAGAAAAGGACAGCCTTCACCACTCCCTTGCGCCGCTTCTCCCCAACGCCAGAGCCATTTCTCAGCTTCCAGTCCCAAAAGATCCCGAACCGGCAAAGAAACGGGCTGAACGAATCCCAGAACGTTCAAGTTCATGATCATCCCACAGGTGTTCCCATGATGCGAATCTTCCCCTTCCAAGCAAGTACTCGCTGCTTCTTCTGTTTGAGAAGATTTGGCAACAAAGCAGGAATGGGCTGAAAGAATCCAAGCAAGTAGCTCACTGCTTCTTCTGTCTAGAACCCCCCAAGAACGCCCATGCGTGTTCCCATGATCCCCCAATATAATGCCTTTCCAGTTCGAGAAGATCGTCTCTGGGCAACCGCTTCGCTCGGAAGAGAAATCGATCTGGAGACCCCAAGTTGAGAACCGATCCGCATGTCATTTTCTATGCGGACCGAGGTCTGAGGTGGCGATTTCAGACTGGAAGTCCTGACTGGAAAACTCCCGTGGTCCAAAACAAGAGAGCTTATTTTTCCTTCTTGTCTTTTTTTCTTTGGGGTGGGTGGGGGGTGGGTGGTTGAGGCGACTATGGCAACAAAAAAGGAGCCTTTTTGGGGTTGACGTCTTCACAAAACACCAAAATGAGTGCCGCCCAACATGTGGGGTATGGCTTGCACGTCCCGAAGCATCCCCTTCAAAATGCAAGTAAGCCAAGCACATCACCACATAATAAAACCCTGAGGTAGCCATTTGGTTGGCTCTTTTTTTGAAGGTACCCTTTTTTGGTGGCGTTTGAAGGAAACTCCAAAGTAAAACCAACATGTTTGCTTTGGTTGGTTGTGATACTCTTTGTTGGGTGGGGGAGGTGCTACAAAAAGCCACCATCTGTTGAACCGCTCGCATTTGTTTTGGATCCAAGCACAACAACCCCAGGTGCCCGGCGCACTTCGATGGGGCCTGCGGGATTTTTGTTTGACAGCTCGGGCAAGTCTCCGTTTCAGACATGGCCGTGGTCGTTTCTTTGTTCTCAGTTGTTCAGTGACCCTCCTTTTTTGGGAAGACCATTTTTATTGGGGCAGCCACCAAAACAAAGGGGAAAAAGGGTGCCACTGAACAACTGTGTTTCTAAAGGGAGTCGACATGGTGGACAGCAAAATTGTGCGAACATTCATGTCCACCACTTTTGAGGTCTCCCGAGATCTGCTATGTTTAGAAGCTCGAAGAAGCCAAGTGAAGCCTGGAGCCTTCACCGTGCTTTCAGGCGAAACCAAACGAGTCTTCCGCTGCCCAACCCGCAGGATTCACCCGAGAGCCCTGCCGTGGACTGAAAGGAAATATCCCAGTGCAATTCACACGTGCAGTTCGGAACCGGAGGATTCAACAAAACATGTTCTGAAGTGAAGACCACATGTTTTGGGTGGCAAAACACATGTTTAACAAAAGTTTTGGTCAACCTAACATTGGTTTTTGGTGAAGCAGAAGCGGTCGGCATGTTCCGATTCGGCTTCTGAAAGTCTCGAAGCTGGGCACTGAATCCGGAGCACTGATGCAACGCCGGAGCTCGAAGAAACAGTGCTGTCCAATTGGAAAGGGATCCATGTTGAATGGCGTTCAAAGGGAAACCAAAGAGGAAACCAACCCTTCTGTTTGGAAAGGGACCTGTAAGGAATGTTTTTTTTCAGGTCAAAAAAGCCATTTTGGGGAGCTCTCAATCCGCATGTTCTGCGCCTCGATCTGCTTTGGCCATGCGATCCTGGCCAAGGCCCGGTCGTGTGCCCTCCCAATCATGCAAATGAACATGGAGTACCAAGGTAGACTTATATCCACGAGTTTCTGTTGGGAAATCAACAAACAGGTTGCTTTGCTAGTTGGTGGGAGGGTAAATCCGGGGGTTCTGTTTTGGGCAAGTCAACAAACTGGTTAAAGTCTATTTTAGAGCTATTTAAAAACGGAAGATCTTGACGGGTGCTCCGATGGGCAAGCAACACGGGCAGAAAATGGGTGCTTCCTTTGGTTTCCCGATAGACCCAAAAACCAACGTTCTGACAATCGAGCGAGATGGGAACAGAGTTCAGTGAGGTCCACTAGAAACCGGCCAGGAAGTGGCAATTTTAGTTGGCGCCCCAGTGCCAAGCAACACCTTGTGCAGGGACGCTGGCCTTTCTCGTCCCTTGTGTTTCTTGGGTATCTTCCGTGGTAGGGGGAGCTAACCGACCTCAAATGTTGGAGCTTTTCTGCAACCAACACTCTTGTTGAAGACCTGTAAAACCGCACACGCCTTTTGACCGTCCCATGACCACTCGCATCCAGGGGTGCTTGCACATACCCCTTTTACATACCCCTTGGGCAAATGAACTCAAACAGCTTGCTGATGTTCATACCCCTCTCCCGAAAAGGGGTATGTACCTCTTATAAAGTGGGTTGGAAACCAAGGAAGCCAAGGGGTATGAACAAGGGGTATGGACTTCCACCCTTAGATCGCAAGTCGCTGTTGGTCCAAAGTCCAGGGTCCCCTTTTCCATCATCCATGGAAGTGGACGGTGGGCTTCCCCAAACGAAAGCTTTCGCCTTCCAAAACCCTGCGATTGTTAGCAAAACCCATGCCATTGTACTGCATTTCCCAGTGCCTAGAGCCTGTGCCCCAGACTCAATTGCATCTTCCAAATTTTCATCAATTGGTTTGGAATCATCCTCACCTTCGCCGCCTTGCCAGCGACGACCCCAGCAATGCCATGCAAGGACTCAAGACCACACAACAAACCCTGGGTTTTTCTTGAAGGGAAACCAACAGGAACACCATACTTGTTGGGGTCACCTGAAAAATGACACACCCCGAAAATGGGTATCCATCGAAATCTGGAAACTGACCCGTCGCCTTGTAGATGCTCTTGTAGAAGTCTCCGGCGCGGTAGGAAGACCTGACCTGGGCGAGGGGAAGAAACAGCACAAGATGAGTTCATCTAACCTGGCTGCCCTCAGATCCGCTGCAAAAAGTGACTAACTAGCAGGCCAAATGGAAGCTACCACTAAACCCTAAAAGCCTAAAAGCACCGGATGGCTGGGAACCACCAAGCTCAAGTCGGCCAAAGTCGGCAAAAGTTTCATCCACACCTTGCAAGCCTTCCAAGAAACCAGCGACAAGATGTACACGAAATCCTTATTTTTGATGGGTACTTGGCAGCTGTTATGCAGAATTTCCTGTAGCCGGTTTTAGTGGAAAGCTGGACACGAACAAAGCATAAACTAGGGAACCTCCACTTCCAGTTTTAGTGGAAACTCCACCAGTAGATTGATCTCAACTTTTGATGTGGGGAAGAGTGATTTCTGGGAACCCCTCTGGTACCACCTTTCCCAAGAAACCCTCTGGTATCATTTTGGGTGGTTGATTTATGCCCATTTGGCCAAGGATTCCGCACCAACAAACAATCATGATGGCAACCAAAGTCATACACTTCCTGAAAGTTCATGGAACAAAAGTCGGATCGTTCCAGGCATGGTTCTCAGCAGTGAATGAGAAATGGAATGACCTCGACCTCGATTTGGTTTCCTTTATTCGGGAATCCCCTAAACCCGGAAGGATCATTCCCTGCCTATCGCACCAAAGGGCAACCACCATTTGAAAACACTTCATACCTATGGCCTGGAAGCTCGCTTTGGAGAAATCGGGGCCCAGAAAAACCACATTTCGGCGAGTGATGCCGTTTCTTTGGAGGGCTCCTTACTTAAAAAAATCATAAGCGCACAAGCAGAGGGAAAACACGAGTCCCCTGCCATTGGACCGGACGCCACATGCAGCCCCAGGGCCTTGGGAGCGCAAAAACGGGTGCATTGGGCGTTGCGGGGGTTAAGGACTTGCTTTGGGGGTTTGGGATTTTTCGGGACTTAGGGATGTTTGTGGCTTTGATTTAATGGATGTTTCTGGATGTGCTTGGAGTTTAGGCGTGTTTTAATGGGTTTTAGGTAGTAGTTTTTGAGGATTTTAGGGATTGGGAGTCCAACAAGAACACAGTTCAGGGTGAGTATGGAATTTCTGAAGGCGATTGACTCCAAGAACCACAGAATTCCAGAGGTTTGTAACTGCCCCATGCTGTTTCAGGGATCACGCTCATGTTCCTCCCGTCTGCTTTGCTCGCCATGCTCAAACTGCCCCTTGGGCGTCCCATCAGGGTTGCTCCCACAGGGTTCTCCACAATTTTGGGAAATATAGGGAGCCCTGTCCCTTGAGACCTGATCGGCAGGGAAGGTTTTTGGCCACTTCACTTTCCCTGCTCGCCCAACGGCTTGATCCTCAGGTAAGCAACTCTGTCGGTTACAAAGAAGGCTTGCTTGTTCCAAGAACATGTTAGGGACCCCAAAGGGAGAACCTGAGAACCATCAATTCATGGGCAGAAATGAGCCATTTGCATGCGCATGCATATTACCCTCCCACCAAACGTGCAATTTCACAAGCTCCGTTTCCAAAACGACCGTGGTCTTCCCATAGGGCCTGAGCACTTCCATGTTGGTGGGACTGGTGACGAATCTGTTGATAGTGACACGCACACTTTTCCTGTTCGATGCAAGCGATGGACGCAAAGTATCATTCTTGGCGCGCCATCTGTCCATTCCAAACTGAGCTGTTCAACATGGCGGGTTGGCCAACCCGAATTCGCAACTCAACAATACCACTACGGTTCAACCCAAAATAATGGTTAACCCAATTTCAGGCGATAAAGCTCCTTAGGTACACAATGGCGGATTGCCTCTGAACAGCCCAGTCTATCAATTTGTCCTCTAGAGCAGCCACGCCGGGAAAACGGCAACTACTGAGCTCAATTCCAAAGGCAGAATCGGATCGCAGAATCCCAACAAGCGGGAATTCCGGGTCCAAATTTCCTCCACCCCCAAAGAGCCGTTCGTGAACCGGAAACTCTGGAGCCCCAAATCGACTCGTCAGGAAATGAATGGCGCTGATCGAGGGGAAACCTCTGCAAAAGGTGCCTTCCCCCTCCTTCAAATGTGCCCAGTTTGGGTGAAGCATGGTGAACCATGGTGAACCATAGTGTTTGGACCTTAGTGAGGGATCCTTACATTATACACCTGAACATTGCCTTGTAAATGGTGGTTTCCCTTTATTTTGGTGGAAAAAACCATGTTTCAAATGGGCAAAATGTATCTCTTAAGGAGCCCTGTGAGGATGCTCTATTAAAATGAATGATTGTCTTTCTATCATGAACCTTCCCACTCCTGATTAGCACATGGACCTCCAGGAGCTGCTCTCAAAATGAGCTCTCACAAACAGGTGAGTTCCGTTTGGCGTCCCTTTTGAGCCATCCAGAAAAGCGGGGTCCCTATTTGAAATACATACCGATGAATGAAAACGTGTTCACCTTCCTCGTGCCCAATCAGTCGCAACCAAAAGCTTTGGGTGATTGCGATCTACATTTGCCCAGGTGCTACTCACTTCCCTCTCAACGGCCACACCAACCGCAAGCAATTACACATGAAATTGTACATGGGCTCTGGACATTGTGAATCAAACAGAGAAATGCTAAGTCTAAACAAGGCCTGCCTGCTTCGGACCTGTCCAAATTTTGAGTGAACAGATCCACATTGCTAGCTCCCGCTGGAATGCAGGGTGTCCTTTTGCACTTTCGAAAGGAATCCAGTACCACGAGTTAGGGGGTCATACCTTTCTCCAAGTGCAAAGTCTAAAAGGACCACCCGAAATGCGGATTCCGTGTGTGATACTCACTCCTCACAGGCCGACGCTCATGCCTGCAACGTGGGCTTGAGAGGCCCGCATGTGTAAACCTCTGAGGGAAATGCGTGTCAAAAGCTCACAAGTTTGGGAGGCCGAGACCGCAAACGTTGTTGCTTTTGTTTTCTACAAACTTGGGCTTGGTAGTAGCCAACTTCGGAGTAGCCAAATTGTGGTCCATGGTCGATACTGGACGATTCCTGTCGTCTTTCCCCCGCGTGAAGAACCAAGGACCTTCAATCGGTGCAAGTAGATGGCACAATTCTCTTGTCGGTAAGGCGGATGATGAAACTCCATTTTGTTTTGGGGGGGGAACTTGCGCCACCTAGCTACATCCCCGCTGCAAGTGGATATAGAGAGAGCTGGGGCAAGTAACTTGCTCTGATCGAGCGCCGACGTCCACGTCTGAGTTGGATCCCACCCAATAGTCTTCAAACGCGGGTTCCGAGCGACTACCCCTGAGCTTGAACTAAGTCTGAGATTTGACCTCCATGCGATGTCAGTTGCCTGTTGCTTCAATTATGGTTCTCAGTAAGAATTGCATGGCATCAAATTGCACGCTCAGGGGTCCCTATGAAAGAAACCTGTCAGGGATCAAATCAAGTGCGATCTCATGTGGCCTGGTGGAGTTGTTTACCCTTACGGACGTTGAACGCGGCTTTTGGGTGCATAGGGTTTCTAAGCACAAAGCAACGCCCCAAACCCTGTTAGCGGATGTTGTCCTTTCAAGACTTCTTCTCTGCACAAGCTACTATAGCTCACTCACCTAATTGAGACATCTCCGAGCCCGTTTCCACCATAGCTGAGCTCGCTATGCTTGGTACAAATTGTATTAGACCCGTGAGTGCAGCTCCGCCAAACGTGGTGGACTGCCAAGCTTCTGAAAAAGGCTTCGGCAAAGGGCAATTGGAGATCTTGATCAAAGGGCTTCCCACTCTGTTCGGTTCTGGTTTCGGGCATTGCTCAAATAGGGCCCCAGACTTCTTGTTCGCCACCGAAACATGTGTTTAAGACCACTAACTCGGAAAGTGCGTTTAAGCTTACCCTACTTAATTTGCGCCTTGGTTAAAAACGTCGTTCCCGTGGCACAATCTTTACGTGCCAGTCAAAATTGATATCAAGGGTCACCCTACACCTTTTCTACACCAACTAAACCAAACCTAAACCATCTAAACCAAACCTAAACCAACTAAACCAACCCTAAACCCTAAACTCCTCCAGCCCTAAAAAGGCCTTACCACGGCACATTTGACCCCGGCAACTTGCCTAGGGCATCGCGGCTCGCTGCAAGGACCTCGGTTCATCTCAGCACTCCCGCTGAAAGGCTGTTTGTTTGTGTTGTTGTTGAAAGGGGCATGAAAACGCAACCACTCATTTTGAGGGTTCCCCGCAGGTTTTTTTTCTAACACAGCTTTGCAGTTTCCAGGTGCGCCAAGCCGAACTTCATGCCAACTGGACTGCCAAATTGTGCGTTCAGACTCCCTATGAAGCAAGTGTAGAGCCCCAGCAAAAGAACAAGGACTTGGGATTGCCCCGACACAACAAGTGGGCATTTTGGTTACCTGATATTGCAGTGAACTTATAGGGAATAACTAAGTCCTCTGTAATGAAGGAACCAACCAGAAACCCTAAGCCCCTAAGCCCTAAGCTGGGATGCCATGGACAAGACTCCGATTGTGGGGGGCATGGTTCCCTTCGCAGGAATCCTCCCCCAGAGTTTGCCGTGTAAATGTTTTTTTTTGGAGGAGCCCAATCAATTGCAACCCTTTTGAAAGGCGGGGCACAAAACAGAACTAGGGTCCAAGAAGAAAACCTTTTGATTCCAGTCTATCGAACCCAGCAAACATGCATTCAAAGGGCAGAACCCACTGAACAGCTAGCACTCAGTTGCCCAAAGGACCCAGAAGTAAAAGGCTAACCTTTTGGCACCTCTACTAACAATGGACCAACATGGGAAAGCCAAAAGGTCAAAAGGTCGATTCGCTTTGGACAACTGAGAATCAGTTTCCAGGGTCCAGCGCTGACGCCTGCCCAGCCAATCCACTCAAAAAACTTCTACTGGACCATTCCCGAATCGGACGGGCCTGTCTTGTTTTAGGGCCAGCCCCCATGTTTGTTTCATGCTTTTCTGGGTGGCTTTGGCTTTCCTTCAAAACTCTGCGGGTTCCCGCCCAAAAAACAGGGCTCCCTAAATTTCCCCTTACAACATCACCCCCACCAAGGGGCACTCACCTTTCATGGGCCACCAAAAAGGGACACAATGGGATCCCTGAAAAAAGGATCCAATTTCTCGGCTTCCGGGCGCAAGCGCCAGCCTTGCCATGATGGGGGACCAGGAGGCAGCAGAGGACCAGCCCTCCAGCGGCCTGACGCAAAACACGCCGGAGACCGGTGAAAAACGACATGAGGCTGCTCACAAGTTACAACTTGTTTGTCAGTTTCTTTCTTTTTTTTGGGGGGGTGGGGGGGGTTCAAACAAAAGTGCGACGTACTGCCAGCGGTGAACAAGACAGCCAGGCTGATCACAAGTTTATATTTTAGGATGGGTTGTGCAACCACAAGTCGTGTGGTTCAACACACAAGTTGACATGTGTTTGGAAGTCTGTTGGGAGAGTCTGTCCGTGGGTGAAACATCCTGTGTGACATGTGCCATGAAAACAAAACCTGACATGTTTTGGAAGTCTGTCGGTGATGAACACATCGTGTGTGACATATATGCAACACAATAGGGAGGGAGAATTCCCCAATGCATCAAAGCAAAGGAGAAAAGATGGGTGCAGCTTTGAATAAACGTGAACCCCATAGGTGACCTTCTGGAAACATAGATGTTTCCCTGGTAACTGGATGGCATAAAGAGCAATCTAAACCAGTGGAATCCATGTATGTCTAACCAAGCTAACCGATCAAGAGGACACCCTGTTGTTGGTGGAGGTTCTTTTCTTCCAGAACGGAGTCCCTGATCAGCAACTGAGGGTTTGTTAATCAGGGGTTTCACAGACACCAGCTACCAGAATGTCTGCAGGAAAGGAGCCAAGCACACCCCAAAAACAAACATTTCCTGCAG